GGCGCTAGTGTCGGGGAAAATCGTGTCTTGGGGTAATAGAAGAGTAGACCATATTGTTAATTTATAATATTTGAGAAGATTCTTCTGTCTCTCTTTATTAGTATTTGTTTGTCTTGACGGCCATCTCGATGAGTCTCATCGTCGCCCATTGGTCCAGAACCGTACTACCGTCCATACTGACGACAAAGCTCTGATGAGTCAACGAAACCCCACCCTCAAGCTCCTCCCCTGATCCTATCCTTCGATAATGTACCCCTCTATATTCGAGTAAGCCGCGAGTATTCGGCCCAACTCCTGCTAGACATAGAAATAAGTTAATTTTTTGTACAAACAATGAACAATGAATTATTGGCTCCGTAAAGCTATCACGGTTGAGTTTTCCAAATAAATGAACTAGATAAAAAAATTAAGGATAGTTTAACAATCATTGAAGTTTAACGTTTACTTAAGTTTACAAAGTCTAAGATTTCATAAAAATAAGCAAAACCTTAAAGTGTCGAACTCCAAGGCCAAGATCTTGAAAATGTTCAAAGTGCCAGCATCTCAGAATTAAAATAGCGAAGTCTCAGACATTTCATCAATCTCAAGTTCACAATCTTAAACACATTTCAAAGCACGGTATTTCAAATATGTTTGTAAGTTTAGGAACTTGAAAACTTCTCATGTTCCCTAATTTTGGTGACGATGATGATGATGGTCCCACCTCTTATCTCTACAAAGGTTTGAGCTGGACGATTTATCTATAAGATAATTAAGTATGAGATGTTAACCAAATTAGCTAACAAAAAACGAAATGGTTTCAATAATACATTTCATCTTGGAAGGTTGTAGGACAAAAGGTTGAAAGAAAAAGATCGAAGGATATAACGTCGAGGGACAAAAGGTGGAAGGACAAAAGGTTGAAGCAACAAAAGGTCAAAGGAAAAAAAAGGCCAATTCATAATAAGAATAGGTCGAAAGGATAAAAGGTCAAAGGGAAAAAAAGGTCGATGCAACAAAAAATCAAAGGGACAGAATTTCAATAAAAGCGGCGCCGATGGTGTAGTGGTAAGCGTGACTACCTCTCACCCCAGCAGGCCTGGGTTCAATCCCAGTCGGCGTCGCCGGGATGTTCCGAGGCATAACATCTCTGATCACGCCTTCCTTCGGAAGGGAAGTAAAGCCGTTGGTCCCCGGTTCATAAGTTGATGGGTCGATAGGTAGGGTTCAGGTGTGGGAGCTGCCTCCCTGGTAGCATTGGTGCTCAGCACGGAAAACAAGTTAGACGGAAAAACAAAGAAAGGAAAAAAAAATTCAATTTGTTGTTCCCAAATCATGATGACCCTAGATTTTTTATCTGTATCTAGCATCTCGAAAAGTTTTATGGGAAAATTGAATCCCCTTTCAATTGGCTGCATAGTACTCTTGAAAATCTTCTGCAGAATACTGTTTGAATTCACTCTGCTATGCTCTTTATATTATTAATAATTCCTGCAGTTTCTCACAAAAATACTCCTGAAAAAACTCACTTGCAATGGTTCTCAGCATTCACTAGGTAGGGAAATGTCGGCCTAAATGCCCCTAATTTGGGCCCATACATAAATTCAGCAATCGACAAAAATTTCAATAGCGACAAACAAATATTCATTAGTACCGTCCCAATGACGCGTTCATCTAGATAAAATTGATAAATAGCTGATTTTTAGCGATGGGCCCAATCTTAGATCCATAGACGGAAATCAGAGCCATTTCCCCTATTATCCTGAAATTCGCATGCAATAAACATAGGAATCCTATTTTAGATCTGCTCAGAATACGCATTAATTCTTTGAAATGCCCTCATAGTGGAACTCTCGTTTTAATTTTCTAAACTATAACCCCAAAATTTTGAAATGCTCCTCGGAATTCCTTTGTTGGAACTATCCTTGGAATTCGGAATTTGATTCTAGTGGAATATTTTTTTGAATCACATAAAAAAATCCTTAAAACTATTTTGGAATACCCTCAAGAAATTCATTGGAATTTTCGTTGAATCCACCTGGAGTCATGCTTGGCATACACAGTTGTACACACCAACTGCTCATTTGTTAATAACTTTTCACTCAGGTGTTGAAATTTGTTTTTCTTTAAAGTAATTGATAGATTAGGATCATAGTTAACTATAGATATGCAAAGAGTAGTTTATTACTAGAATTAAAATCTACTTGTTTTTACGTATCTATAACAAGCTTAAACTCTATTATATCTACTGCTTAAAAAAGAACTATGTTACGTCAATTGTGTGCGAAGTTATTAGCAAATGAGCAGTTGGTGTGTACAACTGTGTATGCCAAGCAGGCCTGGAGCAGGCAGATTTAATTGTAATCCTTCATTTCGCATACCTTCTAAGTATTCTCCGAAAATTCCCATGGAATTATGCTGTGGATTACTCCTTCTCCTAGAAACATCATCACATTATCCTTAGAATTTAGGCTCCGTAAAGTTTACATAAACAGTGCGCGGTGGCTCAAATTTCCATGAGGATCTAATTTTCTTCCATTTTGTTTGGATTCATTTTGCCAGTTATCTTTGAAAAAACTGTTGACACCCCTGCTTTGGAGGGTTTCCACGCTTTACCCATCTTCGCACCAGCTCTGACAGCGATGGCTATGTTTTCACCTCGCGTGCCAGCTCAGATCTGCAAATGACGTACAATTGAATTATTTCCATAATCGTTTTGAATGATTTGCGTTGTTGGGGGGGGTAGGGGGTCTCATCCAACACCATATGCATTTCAATTAGCGATGCTAATCATTCTGCAGAGAGCATTAGGTCCGTTCGCTTCATCTGATTTCAAAACAACCGTCATCCGGTTGCAGGCCATCATTCGCAAAAGCGATTATTTCGATGTTTCGATATGAATGGTCGGAGGATTCATCGTACGAACAGAGGTTGGTGTTTTGGTACAGTGTATGGGTGAGCTTAAAAGTCGGCTGTCATCGTCGTCGATCGTCGTCGTGCTCCAAATGATGGGGAGGCGAAGCAAGCCCGGAGAAAGGCGCACATCGCGCAAAACAAGATGTCAATAGTTTCCGTTAGAAGCCTATAAGCCGAGAGCAGGTGACTTGCACCTGGAAGCCTCAATTTATGCGCCTCATAAAATTCTATTTTCTTTGAAAAATTTAAACCCTCGATGACTCCGAGGGGTTAAATTTATTCCCAAGTTTGTTTGTTGGTTTATGCAAATTTTGCATAAATATTTACGCAGCTCGGATTTACCTGCACAGCCCATGTGACAGAAGTTACAGTTTTCTTTTGCATTTCCAGCCGTGCCCAAGTGTGGCTGAAGGAATGCAGAGTAAAAACAAACCCCGCGCCGGAGGAGAAATTTGCATTCGCCCAGGCCCGGAGACCGCATGGCGAACCCGTTTGGTCAGGTGGTTGCGGTCAGTTCTTGGGCGTCTGTTTCGATGGGTGTGTGCGTACGTACTGATGCAGTCAATTAGGTACAGCATGGGACGAAAGGTGAAAATTGAAATTAGAAAGTTTGTGCAGAATTGCTAATGCGAGTTTAATTAGCTGCAATTGCTTCAATTTCTGTCAAATTAGAGAAACTGGCATCCGTTATGGCATCACTTTGCTACCTTGGATATTCCGACAGTTGATAAGCAGCTTGCATAAGTGAACTGAGAGAAAACAACACACATGGCTTTCCAGGAAGGAGAAGATGCTGGGATGAACTGGGATAACTCCGAGAATCGATCAGCGCTACTCCTCCCACCGTCCCAGCTCCGAGGAATTCCATTCCTCAATGGAGGTGATTGGAATTATCACCGTATCGTCGATCGTTTTCACCTGTTTGCCTGCCATCGTTCGGGATTGTTTTTTTTTATTATTATTATTCCTCGCAGACTCAAAAGTCATTCCAGCCGATCCAGTCGGCGAGGGAAGGTACCTGGAAGACACGAAACGGTGTCCCAAGTCGATTTCACCTTCGATTTCGTTTGTGCCACTCACGTACAGGTAGTGGAAGGGTCCACGACGAGTTGGTGCGCGCCAGGCGGCTTAATTACTCAACTGGGCTCAACTTATGGAAGACAGAAAAAGTCAATTTTGAACTTTTCTCGTTTTTGTTAACGTGTTCTTTCACTTTAACGCTTTTGTTGTGACCCCGAGCGATGATGCCGACGACGTCGTCGATGATGGCGGCAAAACGGGGAGCGACTGTGTGTGGGTTTTTAATGGGTTGCTTTCGGCATTGAGGATGTGTGGGTTTTTTATTTTAATTTTTTTTTGTCATAAGGAGAATGTGAGGAAAGGTTAAGGATGGTGGTTTTTGGATTGCTCATAACTGACGTTGTACGTTGTCATTGAAAGGTTTGATGAAATTGTAATTGTTTCTCTTCTTCTTTTTCCTTTATATAACGTCGGTCCTGTTCTGCAATCTAGTGCCAATCACCGACAGACATCGATTGCCATCCATTGACGGCAATGGAATGTGTAGGAAAGCAGCTTCCACACCTGCGTAGGATATCGCACCAATGCAACACACATACACATGAGCCGGGACCAACGGCTTAACTTCCCTTCCGAAGGAAGACGTGACCAGAGATTTTTATGCCTCAGAAAAATCCCACCGACCTCGGCTGGGATTGAACCCAGATCCATTTAGGTGTTAGAAAGCAGTCACGCTTACCACTACACCACCGGCGCCGGCAGCATTATAATTAATTATAATGTTTACCTTAATTTTCGTTTAATTTCTTTTTCGTAAACCCAAAACTTTTTGGAATCCGGAAGGACATCGCAGCAGAGGCAGACCCAGGGGCTCATAGCGGCGGAGCCTCAATAAGGAAATTAAGCAAGTCGATAGGAATCCGACCTGGTCCCAGGTCAAGGCAAAAGAGAGCAGCCGCCCAGGATGGAAGTCTTTCACGTTGGCCCTTTGCACCGCTTGTGATGCACAGGACCCTTAAGTAAGTAAGTAAACAAAAAACTTCCATGAATATTTTGATCGTAACTATTGTTGGGACTAGATTAGGATGTCTAGCGGCACCGGTGGTGTAGTGGTAAGTGTTATTGCCTATTCACCTCAAAGGTCCTAAGTTCAATCCCACACACTTGGAAAAATTGATGTAAATTTAGGTGCTCTGAGACTGACATACACGAGTGTCAATTTTGACATAAAATTGAGACATAATAGACGCGAAATTCAGCTCAATCAAAAGTACTTTCGAACTTTTCAGTCTCGGAGCACTTAATTTTACATGACATGTTTGTTTACGTCTCATCCTTTATGTCAAAAATGTATTCCGTCACGTGTAAAATTAAGCATTTCTAAGTGTGCAGTCAGCTCCGCTGAGGCATAAAATCTTTGATCACGCCTTCCAGGACTCTTTTGTATGATTAAGGTAACTATCAACCCCTCTCTTTTCTATTGTAAATGTCTCATGAACAATAGATTATGTTGTACATAACAATACATTCTATTGTATTTTTATTGTTTTTGACAATAACATCTATTGTTACAATGAAATAGGTTTTATTGCACTGTAACAATAGATTCTATTGATTTTGTATGGAAAATTTTTATTCGGGAACTATAATCAATCCGTTTGATTAATTCTGCTACGAACAGTGGCAGAACGATGGTTTTTGTCATATTATAGGAACAGCTTGGAGATCTCCTTTGGAATGTTGTTTTTGTTTGAGTTTCAACGTCTGTTTTCAAGGTACGTGTACGCATGCGGTATGAAAGAAAAGCCACAAGTAGGAAACATGTGTTTTCCACAAGGATAATTACGGCGAACGTGTCTGGCTTCTTTTGGTGAGAATTGAAACATTGTAACTATGCGAGATATTGCAACGTTTTGTTTTTTTTTTTTAGAAGTTAGTTTGTCTTGTTTGATTTGGATAAAAAAAATTGATTAAGCCACCTACCGGTGACAAGTGCCTTTCTCGTGTAATATTAAACACACACTTAGAAATAACAAATTTTACACGAGCCGTAATCTATGTTGGACGTAAATCATGGAACGTAAATAAACATTTCATGTAAAATTAAATGTTCTCAAACCGAAACATAAGCAAGTCGAAGAAGAGAACGTTTGATTGAATTGATTTTCTCGTATCTTTCAACTGATTCTTATGTCAAAAAGGTCGCTCACATGTGTCGATCTGAGGGAACCGAAATTTACATGACATTTTCGTAGTGTGCAGCTTAATTTCATACTATGAAGATCTGAATATGGAGTAGACGGAAGTTGATGTTGAGTTAAAAAACAACTAATAAATAGGCACATTGCTTTCATGTAAGCGAATGACAGCTACCGTAAGACGGGGTGACATTAGGCCAACATTGAAAAATGTTTATTGATGCTAATATCTTGAATATATAGAAAATGATGACTAGAATATGTTTCTTGAACTCCTGGAGTAAAGTGTAGATATGTCGGAATCGGAGTTGGAATCGGAGTTGGAATCGGAGCCGTAATCGGAGCCGAATCGAAGTCGGAATCGAAGTCGGAATCGAAGTCGGAATCGAAGTCGGAATCGAAGTCGGAATCGGAGTCGGAATCGAAGTCGGAATCGAAGTCGGAATCGAAGCCGGAATCGAAGTCGGAATCGAAGTCGGAATCGAAGTCGGAATCGAAGTCGGAATCGAAGTCGGAATCGAAGTCGGAATCGAAGTCGAAATTGGAGCCGGAATCATAGTCGGGATCGGAGTCGTAATCGGAGTCGGAATCTAGAATATGTTTCTTGAACTCCTGGAGTAAAGTGTAGATATGTCGGAATCGGAGTTGGAATCGGAGTCGTAATTGAAGTCATAATCGAAGTTGGAATCGAAGTCGGAATCGAAGTTGGAATCGAAGTTGGAATCGAAGTCGGAATCGAAGTCGGAATCGGAGTTGGAATCGAAGTCGGAATCGAAGTCGGAATCGAAGTCGGAATCGAAGTCGGAATCGAAGTCGGAATCGAAGTCGGAATCGAAGTCGGAATCGAAGTCGGAATCGAAGTCGGAATCGAAGTCGGAATCGAAGTCGGAATCGAAGTCGGAATCGAAGTCGGAATCGAAGTCGGAATCGAAGTCGGAATCGAAGTCGGAATCGAAGTCGGAATCGAAGTCGGAATCGAAGTCGGAATCGAAGTCGGAATCGAAGTCGGAATCGAAGTCGGAATCGAAGTCGGAATCGAAGTCGGAATCGAAGTCGGAATCGAAGTCGGAATCGAAGTCGGAATCTAAGTCGGAATCGAAGTCGGAATCGAAGTCGGAATCGAAGTCGGAATCGAAGTCGGAATCGAAGTCGGAATCGAAGTCGGAATCGAAGTCGGAATCGAAGTCGGAATCGAAGTCGGAATCGAAGTCGGAATCGAAGTCGGAATCTAAGTCGGAATCGAAGTCGGAATCGAAGTCGGAATCGAAGTCGGAATCGAAGTCGGAATCGAAGTCGGAATCGAAGTCGGAATCGAAGTCGGAATCGAAGTCGGAATCGAAGTCGGAATCGAAGTCGGAATCGAAGTCGGAATCGAAGTCGGAATCGAAGTCGGAATCGAAGTCGGAATCTAAGTCGGAATCGAAGTCGGAATCGAAGTCGGAATCGAAGTCGGAATCGAAGTCGGAATCGAAGTCGGAATCGAAGTCGGAATCGAAGTCGGAATGGAAGTTGGAATCGAAGCCGGAATCGAAGTCGGAATCGAAGTCGGAATCGAAGTCGGAATCGAAGTCGAAATCGGAGCCGGAATCATAGTCGGGATCATAGTCGGGATCATAGTCGGGATCGGAGTCGTAATCGGAGTCGTAATCGAAGTCGAAATCGGAGTCGGAATCGGAGTCGGAATCGGAGTCGGAATCGGAGTCGGAATCGGAGTCGGAATCGGAGTCGGAATCGGAGTCGGAATCGGAGTCGGAATCGGAGTCGGAATCGGAGTCGGAATCGGAGTCGGAATCGGAGTCGGAATCGGAGTCGGAATCGGAGTTGGAATCGGAGTCGAAATTCTAGTCGGAATCGAAGTCGGAATCGAAGTCGGAATCGAAGTCGAAATCGGAGTTGGAATCGGAGATCAGGAACTACAAGAAGCAATTTTAAGAAATCATATTATATCGATATTTAATCGATGGCATAATAAGACGTCTTCAGGCTCTACAAATTGGCCATGAGCCCAAGGATTTTTATTTAACTTCTGGGAACTTCGAAAAACTTCAATTACTTCAAAGAAGTTCAGGGAACATCGTAGAAATTGAGGAAACTTATAAGAAATTCTGGGAATTTTATAGAACTACTGAAAAATTCGTAGAAACAAGGAAAGTTCTGAAAACTGCGTAAAAGTCAAAACTTAATTTAAGTTTTAGGAACTTCGTAGAAGTTAAGGGAACATTATTTTATTTCAGGGAATCTCCTTATTGATCGGGAATCTCTATATAATTTCAGGGCACTTTTTTTGAAGCCCCATGGACTTGGATTAGTCGTACAACTTCATGAAATTTCGGTCGTGGAATTTCGCGGAAAATCAACGAGAAACTTAAAAGTGCAGCAAACTTTGTAGAACTTCATATATGTAAATGTAAGGAATTTTGAAAAAGTTCAGGGAATTTTGTAGAAGATCAAAAGATAGTTCAATAAACTTCTAAGAACTTCAGAGATTATCGCTTCAATATAGGGAACTTCGTTGCAGTTTGTCAGAGATCTCAATTCGAAAAAGCGTCATGAACTTCTTAGAGGTTTTGGGATTTTCGTTAAATTTTAAGGAACATTCCAGGTGTTCAAGAATATTTGTAGATGATAGGTGTATTTCCAGAAGTGCAAAGGTGTTCAGAAATCTTCGTAGAATTAAGATATATTAACAAAATATGGATTTGAAATAATTCCAGGAAACTTCGTAGAAGTTGGGGAAACTTATTAAAACTTAAGGGAGTTTTGTAAATGTTCAGGATACGTTACATAAGTTACAAGATATTCTTTAAAATATCCTTCCTAGACAGCAGGAAATATTGAAAAGATCTCCATGTAGACGAAGATATCAGTAAAGTTCTCTTGATATTTTTCCAAGACTTTAGGTGGATTAAAAATTCAAAATTTCTTTCAAAACTGTAGGTTGTTCAGGAAGTACTGTAATCCGGGGGCAAATTGATCATTATGCGTTGCACTTTTAATTGTCATGTATAACATGGTCGGTGATAGATATCAAGAGAAATGTTAAAAGTATATCATCATGAGACTCCAATCATTGCCTTGATATGTTTTTCCTAACAACAACAAATATTTTATTGCATAAATTTCAATTTTATAGAGCTATCGTTAAGAAGCATACAATATCAACATCGAAAGAAACGGTCATAGGATGTCATTTCCATTCAAGGAGCATGTTTTACTAAATTAAGTGTCAATGGATTTGAATTATTTAATAAATTGCAGTAGAATGTTTCAAATATCAAGAAATCCAGGGTTTCCGCAAAATTACTAGTGAATCTGAACGATGGAGTCTTCATAGCTGCTGATTTAAATACCATTATTTTTCAATTTAGTGTATTGTACAAATTTATTTATTAACTAAAACAGCGAAAAAGATTATCTACCATTTAATTCCTATTTATTAATTTTGGTATCCATGACAGATACGTATTTCGACTACAATGTGCAGTTTTTATCAGTGTCATTCCCACTAACGACTTATCAAAAACCTAACCCCCTAGGTAAAAATGTCAAGATCACAGGTATAAAAATGAAACTACATTGTGTAGAATCGGAACCAACCTAACAAATAATAACCATAGGTAATAGAAAAGTAAAGTAGAACAATCTATGTACCCGAAAACAAGCATTTTTCGCGAGTTTTTATTTAACCGTAGTTTAGCAAAATAAAAATAAATGCAACAGGCCCCCCCCCCTAGGTCCCCTCCAGATTTTCTAGCTACGCCAATGCGTGACACCAAAGCTGCAAAACGCAAGTCGATGCCGTCATCCATTGAACTGTATCATCAGCAAAATGATATCGCAAAATCGTTAAATGATATGGAACGCAATTGATATGCATAGTAAATAAAAGAAGTCCTAATACACTTCCCTGAAAAATACCAAATTTATTCCCTTTCTTTCTTTTCTTTGATTTGTTTTCCGTCCTGAGTACCAATGCTTCCGACGCCAGGAGGGCAGCATCCACACCTGGACTCTACCTATCGACCCATCAACACATGGACCGGAAACCAACGGCTTTACTTCCCTTCCAAAGGATTCAGAGATTGTATGCCTCAGAAAATCCCAACGTCACCGACTGGGATTGAACCCTTTAGAGTGAGAGGTTGTCACGCTTAACACTACACCACCGGCGCCATTAAAGTTATTCATCACGGGACTAGGAATAGAATCATTAAAAATCGCCAGACCTCAATGTTACACAAATAGCTCACAAGACAGTGCTATGTAAAACCTGGAATTTCAAAGCGCTTTATTGCGTGTAATACCAATTAATTAATGTAAACATTCGCAAAGGATGTTTTGCAATGCTTTGGTCATATATTTTTGTTTTCCTTGCATATGTGAACCAAAAAATCAACGATAAACAAATGCTTTCAGATGAATTATTGAAGTCTCAAAAACATGATCTATACGAAACACTTTTAGTGAAAAAACCGGGAGTGATAGAAACGGAGTGTTAAGAAAACGAACCGTGATAAAAACCAATACGCTGCTGTATAAACTCTGGAATAATCGTAGAAGTTCAGGGAGCTTTTTAAAAGTTCACAGCACTTTCCAGAAGTTTGTGGAACTCCACACAAATTCAAGGAACTTCATAGGGGCACTTTGGATAAGCTCGATGAATTGGAAAGAACTTCAGGAAGCTTATTTTGAATTCAAGTAACTTTATGGAAGTTCAGGAACCTTCGTAGAATTTTAGAGAACTTTGCTGAGACACATGAATTTTCGATAAGAAGTCAATAAAGTCCTCTGGATATTTTCCAAGACTTCATTATTATTGTGAAGATCTACAACTTTGAAAAAAAAAATCAAATGTTGTCGGTAATAGTTTTGCTTTCAAGACGGCAGGTTGATCGGGAAATATTCGAAAGAACTCCAGTTGACCGAATGTTTCTGGAATGTTTTTCAGGACCTTAGGTTTTCTCATATTATTCTAAAAATCTCTTAAATATTCTCTTTAGTTGGCAAAGTAAGTTGACCGGAAAGTACTGAAAGGTCTCCAGCTATCAGTAAATTTCTCTGGATATTTTTTCAACACTTCAGGTTGATTGTGTTTTATTCTGATCTCCAACTTTTCAACAATTCAAATTATGGCGGTCAGATATTTTTCTAAAACGGTAGGTTAATTTGTAAGAACTCAAAATAACGCTAGCTAAATGAAAGTCCTGTGCACTGTCAATCAAGTATTATTTTTAGAAAAAAAACTGATTTTGATCACATTATTCATAATCAACATTTTCAAGAGCTTAAAATATTGTATCATTTGTATAAGAAAAATCTTCACATATCTGCTAAAAATTTAAAAAATCTTCGGAAGACTTCTTCAATTTCAACATGTTTTCAAGCATCCTCACAAAGACATGTCTTCACAATGTCTGCGTGAAAAAAATCCTTCACAGAATTTCAAATGTCTTCAAAACGAAGACATGTCTTCAAATCTAGCATCCCTGGCTAGCACAACAATACTCGAAAAATATTTCAACCCAAAAATTTCCTTCACAAGTTACTTTCATCATGGTTGAATCACAGACGCGTCTTTATTACCCGTGCTAAGGGATGCTCCAATTGGTCAAATGTGTAAGTGCAATGGATCATGTTACTTTGCTGGTTCCTTTCTAATTCATGGTTGTTCATGTTCAACGGAATTTGGAAAGCCTGACTCCAAACTTAGATTCATACTTTCCAAATCTCATTATGTAAATGAACTGCGTAACGGATATAAGACATCTAAGTCAATCTAGAAGTAACAAAGGCGAATGTAGCTAAAGAAAAAGTTTTAACTTGCAAATTGATGTTTAATTAAATCAGAATCCCAAACTAACTAGAGATCCTTTGACAATTATCGAAATCTTGGCCTCACGGTCTTAAATTTTTTGACGTTAGAAACTGTTAAATGCAATCGGATCTTTTTTCCATAGTACTTTGTGGCATTTCAAAGCATCTAGCATTGCTATGAAATTGGTTACCTACAAGAGCTCTTCCAACACTCAATAATACTCTTTGCAAACAATCGTCAGCTGACCCAGCAGCCGAAAATCAGCTCATGACAAAACAAACAAAAAACAAGTTCCTTTCCCGTTTCGCAATGTGCACTCCACCCGTGACCTAGGCGGCCAGCCAGGTAGCCCCGGGCTCAACCTTCAATGCAATCCCCTTTCAATTCAAAGCCTTACCTTGAATGAGTTCTGCAGTGCACCGTTCTTCGTTCCTTCGTTCCACACTCCACACGCCGTCCCAACTGTTGCTGCTTGCTTCACTCCTCACCCTAGAGGGTTTCGAAAATTTCCAAAAACAGAGCACACTACTAACACACTGAACGCCGAACCGCCTCTCAGAGGTCGCAAAGTCATAAAAATTCTTTCCGTCCAATGGTCGAATCAGCCGTCGAAGTCGTCGTCGTTGTTGTTGTTGTTGGGTCTACACCTTAATCGATTTTCCACACACCTTTCTCGAATTTTGTATATTATTTCTCCACCTACACTGCACACTGAAATCGGATGGGCACCAGTCACCAGTTTTCGTTTCGTCAAACTTTTCAGTTGATGCAATTAACCAATCGCAGTACTCGTCGGACACACTCGTTTGAACTAGTTGAGCACTGACTGGGTTTGGATTTTAGGCCGTTAATAGTGGATTGTAAAATTCCGAAATTGCACTGGTCTTCACGTTTGAATTACAGTAGGTAATAGGTTTAGTAGACAGAGCACAATCACTGGCTAATGCTGTTGCCACTGCTGCTACTGGTGGGTTTCACTTTCCACTACTTGGCCACAGGCTTTCAAATTTCGAAAGATTTTCGGTCACTCGGAAATCGGTTTTCTTTCGTTCTACCGTGTCAGCTGGCGGGCACTGGTACTTCGATGCCCTCACGCATCATTTTGCGGCTGGACAAAACACGTGAACGCACTTCCAGCGCCCATTTTCTTCCGAAGCTCCACTGCGAGGCACTTGCAAGAAACTGGAGACAATCACTTCAAAATGCGGGAGAAAGTTCACTTCAAAATAAATAATTCACAATTTAATCGATCGAATCACTTGTGTGGGGCTCACTAATTGCCACCCCCACGAAAAGCCACCGCAGTTCACCTCTGGTGCAGAATTTTAAAATTCATGAAAACTCCTATTTCGGCTGCCAAACTGACGACTTCGGTTGCCCCTTTTGCCCCGGGAGGGGTGCGTGTGTCCAGCACTAATGATGAGAATACGAAATTTTCGGATCGACCGTTTTCGGTGTTGATGTTGAGACCCCTTAATATCCGCCGAGCTCTCACACCCTTCCGTGTGTCTCTATATTCGCTAGGACAAAACCAGCAGGCTGCAGGAGGAAGCTAAAACCCGTGCGCGCGCAACAACTGTAAGTTCGAAACTGGTTGAGATGCACCGAAAAGCGCGAAACGAGACGGTGCTCGACCAGACCAATAAGCTAGGGGGCCCGAGGAAAATGAGCGATCGCACCACCCCACATCGATCAGCAACCTCACTCAACATAGCAGGTTGCGAGAGGGTTAGAGAAGTCTCTCGCATTTTCTGCCAGTTACGCTCGCTTCCGTGAGTAAATGTGCAACGCAATGGGGTTGAAATATCGCCCGGCTCTATTCGCTCTCGGAGAGGAGCACCTCGTGAGAGGGAGAAACATACTATGCTACTTTATGCTGCTGCAAGGGTTGCAAGGTGTTTCTTGGAAATGTGAACCGAAAGAGAGAAAGAGATCAAACGGACGATCATAAATCAGCAATGCTCTTCGCTCTTGTCCATGTTATCAGTTCGTGTAACTTTCGAAAAAGTGGTTTACGCTCCCGTTGCTCGGTTCGCTCTTTCATCTGTTTGGAATTGCGCCGTCACTGCACTGACTGGCTGCGCTGAGCTCCTTAAATATTACATGATAGTTTACAGATTTGCAATAGGTCGGTATCTCCGTTCACTGTTGGTTCGTGTGCTTCGCTCATTGCAACGGCCGAGCTAGAGACGGTGCGTAAATGTTTGAGTAGTTGTCTAGTAAAATGAAATGATGTGATCATGTGATTGGTTCAAGTGGGCCCGCGTCCGAGGGCCTTGAACGGTATTTGGATGATAATTTAAAGGTGTCGGGAATTGTTTTCTGAGCTGTATTACTTATTGAAAATGTTTGTCTTTCATCTTTGAAAATTACAGACGTTGCATCGAGATTTCTTCTAAATATGGTAGATTTGCATTCAATTTTTTTGTGAAATTTTGCACAGAAAACCATATAAACTTTACAAACATTAACAAAAAAAATGTAAAAACAAAAAAGTTTTAAAATTATACCAAAAGTTATTATTCTATGATTTTTGTTAAATTTTGGGTGTAGAACTTGAAAGTATCACAGAAGACAGAATTTTTTATAAGCTTAATAAATTAAACATATTTTAAAAAAGTACTGAAGAGGGTGATTTTTTTTTTGTTATTTAAGTTTTAAGACCTATTTTAGATATTTTACTTAACATTTCATGACATTTTTTACCATGTATTTTTTTCAGATAAGTAATTATTTATTCCTACAACTTTGTTCCAGACGTTATTTCGATTGAAAGTGACGTTTTGGAGTTGTTTAACAATATAGAACACGCCATTTTGATATTTTTAATCAATCAAAATGTCCGAGTTTAGTTCAAATGTTAATGATTGACCATAGCAATGAAAATACAGGAAATTAAGAAAAGGTATCAAGGCGAGTTGACAAATATATAACCGAAAACGGATACTAGTAGGGAAACAGAAAAAGAGAAAGGTTTCAAATAGGGTTGTAGTACCGGTAGTACTGATACCGGTTTTACAAGTAAAACCTGGGTATTTTCTGGTATCGAAGTACCGGTACTGGCATGTGAAAATACCGGTATTTTCAGTACTGATCATTTGAAAAATGCAAAAGCTAATTTTACTTTTTAATGATAAATATATTTTAAAGTATTTTTAGCAGCAAAAAAACATGAGTTTGACAAAGATCAGCGAACTTCATGGCAGTTGCATCAACTTCAAGAACTTTATAAGAATCCCAAGAAATCTTCTAGTAGCTTTAAAGATCTATAAAAAAAGTGTGAAAGCTATGAGAGTATGAGAGCTTCGGGAAAGTTTTGACAGTTCCCTTTTTTTACTTGCTTTGTTTTCCATCGATCGATCTTGTTTTCAGCAAGGTAAATAGCAAATATCTAGATTTCTTGATAACTTAATTTTAAGGTAAAATTGAAACCCTTTTATTGCGTCAATTCCTTTGAGATGGTGCCTGAATATTGCACCACAAAGTTGCATGAAGGGACAAGCTTCAATGAAATTTTTTGGTCAAAAAATTGCACTACATTAGTGAATACAAAAAATTTCTGATGTAATTTTTTTTTTTTTTTCAAGATTGTTCATGGAGGGTTAAAAGAAAAGGATAAATTTAAGGTTAAAAAAATTGAATCGCGCTAAAAATTTGGAGGTGCACATTTAATTGAAAATTTCTGGTGGAAAGTTCGCAACACTATGGTGAATGTAAAAGCAAGGTTTATTAATTTTTCTGGTGCATAATTTGCATCGTTCTGATGAATGCAAGCTTCATTGAAAATTTATGGTGGAAAATTTGCACCATTCTGCATGAAGAGGAAAAGCCTGAAAATTGCACAAAGGTGCATGATGAAACATACTTCACTGACAATTTTTGGTGCACCGTTCTGGTGAATGGAGGAGCATGCTCTATTGAAAATTTTCTGGTGCGAAATTTACATCACTTTGATAAATGAAATGAACAGAAAACTTCTGGTGGAAAACTTGCACTAGTCTGGTAAATGAAGGCACAAGCTTTATTTAAAATTAAACTAAATTTAAAATTTCTGGTGGAAAATCTGTACCATTCTGGAGAACGGGGGCAAGCTTTTCGGAAAATTGTTGGTCTTAAATTTGCTGAATAGAGAATCAAATTTAAATAATAATTTCTGGTGTAAAATTTGCACCATTCTGATGATTGGAGGGAAGCTGCTTTACTGAAAATTTATGGTGAAACATATGAAAATAGGGGTAAACTTTATTTGAAAAATGGAAAAAGGAAATCGGCACCAATCAGAAGATTGGAGAAGCAATTTTAATTGAACATTAACGGTGGAAAATTTGCATCGTTCTGGTCAATTCAAATTTTCTGGTGTTTAAATCTTCTGGGGGCAAGTTTGTACTGAAAATTTCTGGTGTATGATTTGCAACATGCTGCTGCATGGAGGGGCAAGCTGAATCGAAAATTCCTGATATATAAATTGCACAGTTCTGGTGAATGGAGGGGCAAGTTCTATTGAACATTTCTGGTAGAAAAACTACAACGTTTTGGTGAATGGACAGAAAAATTGAACTTGATTTCCAAGAAGAACGTAAAGGGTATTGAATTCTGAGAACAGTTCCAAAAGAAAATATTTCTGAGAATGATTTCATGAAAATTCTGTGAATAATTTCTAGTGAATCCTGCAGATAGTTCTAAGATAATTTCGAAAAGAATACCGAGAGAATCAAATTTTGAATGAAATTCCAAAGGGATGTTGAGGAAAATTTCAAGGGAATTCCGAGGATAATTTCAAGCTAATTCTGGGAAGCATTTCTGGAGAATACAGAGGAAATTCTTCTGAAACTCCAAGGAAATTTTAGTTCCAAGGTGTTCTTGTAAAAGTCAAGAATTCTAAAAATAATTCGAGAGGACTTCTGAGAAGAATTTCCAAAAAGCTCATAGAGTTCTAAAAATTTCGAAAAGAACCTCAAGAAATTCTGAGGATGGACTTTTTTGCAACTGTACAAAGTCTAAAGACAGCTTTTGGATTCCCTAATTGAATAGTGGGTATTAGTTTGCCATTGAACTTTGGCCTATTGTTGTGTTACTAAAAATTCGTCTAAGAATCTTCTCTGAAAATTTAAAGTCAGTGCACGCCGCAAAACATTATAACAACGATTCCTACAGGGTTCAGAAATTAGAAGAAAGCGACCGAGATGCTGGGCCAACACAATCGCAGTGATACCCATGTTGGTAGTATGGACACGTGGAAGAATTTCACAATCAGGAAGGGTATCGACGAAGAACTGGACCACCAAATATTATGCGCATACTTTGTAAAGGTGACCGACCACTTCGTGAACATTCGGGAGAAGCGGATAATACTACGATCCTGTGCTGGGAAAACACTTGGTGGAAGGTGCCAAAAATTGCCAGTACACAGGTAACCGTATTCAAAATGACATGATTACATCGTTGCACAATGTAATGTTGCGGAACATTGCGAAATCCTTGCGAGGAAAACCAGTGGTAATCATTGCAGATGAGACGAGCGATTGTGGCCACCACGAGCAGTTGGCGATTGTCATCAGGTATATTGATAATGATCGGTTGACGGAAACATTCGTGGGTGTGAGACGGGTGTTGAAAGCAAACGGATACGCGGATACCCAACTCCCATCTGAATAACACGGTGTTGAAAAAATCCAAAAACTTCTCCGCACATAAGGGTTAAAGAAAATGTTGAAAATTGAGTATTTCACTATAACTGGTCTAAATTCATACAGACTCACTTGCCAAGATTTCAGAAATCAATATACTCATCTATTCTCAGTTTTTCTAAAAATGTATCCGTTCAGGTGTACGAGTTTTTTTTAAACGCTGTATATGGCTTTCTCATGCTTATGTGAAAATTATTAAGATCCACAAGGAATTCGAAAATGTCTGGGTTAAAGCACTTATTGCCGGTAAAATACACATTTTTTCTTCGGTGTATTTTCCACCTGAACATGCCCACAAGCAGTCTTTTGAACTATTTTTTTTTTCAAATTGTTGAAACTATAATGTCAAATATGGAACCAGAAGTAAAACTGCATATTTATGGCGACTTCAATCAACGAAACACAGACTTTATTACAGACATTCAAAATTAATCATTTTTACTTCATTTACTCTGAAGACGAAACTTTACAATTATTATTCGAAAAAATATCTTATTTTGGTCTTAATCAAATTAACCATGTAAAAAATCAACAAAACTCATATTTAGACCTTCTATTAACAAATTGTACTGAAGACTTCTGTATGTATACATCATTAGCACCTTTTTGGAAAAAATTAAGTGTTTCATACAGCAACTGAATACTCAATCTTCGTACAAAATTCTTCTTCCTCAAGCGACTGGGAATACGAAGAAGTGCCGGAATACCATAAAGCAAATTACGAAGAAGCCTGTGTACAATAAATTGGCAAAATTTAATAAGTATTGAAAGAAATGTCGGTACTGAAGTAGAAAAATTTCATGCAATTCTTCAAAGCCTCATTTTAGAAACTGTACCATCAAAAAAGAAGACGAACACAAAAC